CAAGTGTTATTAAAACTTATTTATATAACAATATCATAAAAAATGTAGATCAGGGACCAACTTAGAAGGCACTGACACTTCACTACCTGTAAGCCATTGGTTCAGGAACAAGTGATTGCACTGGACTTTCTATTTCACAAAAGTCAATTCATGTATGATATCTGAGGAAGTACTGTGATTTTATTTGGAGACAAAAAGGAACATTTGGCACTTGCCACATGTCATTGCATATGCCACTGCATCTCGATAATCTTTGTGTGGCTCCTCCTGGGATCTCACCCTCTCCTATCTGGCTCACACGACTCCCATGTTCTGAAAAATCTATGTTTGAATCTCGCTCAATTACTCTGCTAGGAATTCTCTCTGCCTTTGTCAAAGAGTTGTCTACTAGGAAAAAGTGAAATAAATATAAGTACAAAGTCCCAATGTGTAGAGTACACATTAATAAATTAGTCATGTTCTCCGTGAAACTAAATAAGCTTGATTCTTAAAGAGCCCTCGAATTATTTACTAGATGTTTATTTTTGAAAATTAATCAAAACCTGAGTTTAAAAAAAAAAAAAACAATTGGCAAGGCCACACCCCCACACATGTGATATAATTTTAAAGGTACTGTTGTCCTCTTTAAGAAACATCAGGACTTGGATGAGTGGTAAGTAGAGTATGAGAGCTACAAGCAAAAACTAAATGTGTACTATAGTGCGCAAAAAATGAATTACTGGGTCATCAGGGGGTTATGAGGGACATTTATAAAATTAAAAATCCCACAAACCTTGAAGTGCACTTGAAAAGCTCACACAAGAAGGTTAACCTAGCTTACCTTGAAGAACTCATTAGGGGGAGCACACTCGCTCTCCCTGAAGAGCTCCCCCACTCAACCCGCATCCCCAGAAAACAGCTAACCCCAGATAAGGCAGCGTGATGCATCCCGAGACAACAGGACTGGGACATCTAAATAAAGGTGTGAAACAATCGCCTTCAAAAGGTTATCAATTCACTTCAACCAAAATTAGGACCACCCGGTGCTGCAAGAGTTAATAGTCTCAATACCCAAGGATAAGCAGATGAGCATGACTGATATGATGGAACTGGGATTTGGTTGCACTTAATTTTTGCAAAACACAAATAAAATTATAACTGACACTAATTAAAACTAAACTAAAACGGAGGATTTTCATGAAATAAGACTAGACTAAACTAGCAAAGAATTGGTAAAAACTAATTACAACTGGTATAAACATCAGGACTGATGGCTATTGAAAATCTGGAGTCGAAACTAAATAAAAATAAAAACTAATGAAAATGGCGAAACGTTTCAAACCCTGGTGCAGAAATTGGCGAATCTGACCAGGAAATGTTATAAAATGGATTGTCAGAGCAGTCAGCGTTAAAGTCACCTTTGACAGTCCAGACTAAGATGGCATTGAACATCTTCAGGGCGGAAAAGGGTTGGTGTGACCAAGGTGTGGTTTGGCTTGTTGTATGTATATTTCGAGATGATCTGGCTCTGGATGGACCAGTTACCAGGGCATGGAAGGAGGACAGACTCATTAAATGAGGAGAAGGAATTTCCTGGGATTGGAGATCCTCTGGGTGAGTGGTTGACTAAGAGCATGCATAAAATAAAAGCTATCTGTTGTAATTAATTAGCAATAGATTGATAATTGGCCACATTTACAGCTGTATTGACTTGTTGTGGACGTAGTCTACTTCATGTTTAAGCAATCTAATAAACAGATTGAAAATAGACACATTAAAGGAAGAGTATGCAGCTCCACCCTGTCAGATGCCAGTCATGGTGGGGCTCAGTGATTAATTAGGTGAGCTGCATTCATGGCTGAATCAAAACAGAGTTTCCCCTGCTGTGGTCAGTGAGGGAGAAACCAGGGGAAAGTCAAATTTAAGAGAGCCATCTATAAACGTTTATGTTTCAAGTTAAACGGGACAAAAGGGGGTGTTTTACTGTTATTTAATATCAGCATTATTATTGCATCAGAATCATGCAAGAAGCATTGCATTGATCATCATTTATTGACGTTTTTGACATTATACTAACATTGGTGTTCCAGTGATTGTTATAACCTGAGATTAATCTTCTATTTACAGGTGTTAGGATAATCCTATAATCTTTCTTTGCAGGTGTAACCATGATCATTTTTATACATATTGCAGTTTGTTGCTCATTATAGAGTTGTGCTCAAGTTAATAAGGGTTAAAAGGTACAGTCA